GATGAATGATACAATATTCTTTCAGCCACTTGTTTATGGTCAGTCTACATAAGTATTAAAATTTGTTCTTTTTTTTTTTTTTTTTTTTGTACCTGCAAAAAGAGAATCTTGTTTTCCAAGGAATTGAATATAAAATACTTAAAAATTTCTATTGGTTGGTTTAACTTTCTTTACTTGTACCAGTTCACATCCTTAACATTTTAATGGTTACAATCAGTCAAGTTCACCTAGGTACATCCTTTGAATTGACATTTCTCCCTTTACATGTATTTCTTGTATCTTTTTTTAAATAATTATAGTAAATGAACAAATTTATAGTTCTATTTGGCCATACAGAAAATTGCAGTAGATTTGTGAAAATGTGTGCTTTCACAGTTGAGGATTGAGTTTTATTGATTTAAGATAATAAAATTCAAAACCTGGCTCAAGTTTTTATCCTTGTCTATTAGTTTTGTCATCGTCAAATAAACGTTGCTAGATAATTGTATAAAAACACCATCACATTGTGTAATTCTTCAGTCAACTTGAAAAATTTAATTCTGATCCTAATGGTAGAGCGCATTAATTTTCTTCTCCACAGTAACATGGGAATATTGTAGAGGTCAAAATATAATGAAAATTTACACAAATTTAATTATTAGAAGAATATTAGTAAAGATATGACATTTTTTGGTTGAGACTTGAGAATATGAAAAATTAATGTAATAAAGAAAAAGAAAAATCCAATGAATTCTCATGGCCCAAGTTTATTTTACTTGTTTAATATAATCGTGTTTGTGCACAAGGAGTGTTGGGGAAAAAATTACAAATGAAAATACATGAAATCATAATTTTTTTTGGGAGGTCTTTTAAAAGTGGTAACTATTGTTGATATATTAAATTGTATTTGTTTTAAATATTAATAGCAAATATGTTTTACAAAGCTTTTTACCTATTTTATACATCTTTAAATAAATCATGGGTTGGGAAATATAACTGCCTCATTCTTTGTATGAGCTAAACAACAAATAGTAAATATTTTAATGCCCCCTCCGTAGCGGTGGGGGCATTAAGTTTTACCCTTGTCTGTCTGTAACGTACGTACGTACATCCCAAAATTGGTTTCTGTTCTCTAATTTGAGTTTGCCTCAACCAAATGTTATGAAACTTATACACAATGCTTATTACCACAAAACACAGATCAAATTTGAATTTTGGAGTCGTCACTTCAACCGTTCAAGAGTTGTGTCCCTTTATAAATGGAAAAATTGCAAAATTTTTAGTTTCCGTTCTCTAACTTAAGTTTGCCTCAACCAAATGTTATGAAACTTATACACTATGCTTATTACCACAAAACAAAGATCAAGAAGTTCGAATTTTGGTGGCATCACTGTAACCGTTCTAGAGTTATGCCCCTTTAAAAATGGAAAAATTGCAAAATTTTTATTTTCTTCTCAATATCAAGTAATTTTTAAAATTGGAGTTATCTTCCTTTGTCCATGATTATAGTTGAATCAACTACAATCAATGCTTTATACAATGCAATGTTTAATTTTGACTTCCAGAACACAGATCAAGTTGAATTTGGGTAGTGTCACTTTAACCATTATTGAGTTATGCCCCTTTATGAATCGAAATATTGCATATTTTTTAGTTTCCATTCTGTAACTTAGGTTTGCCCCAACCAAAAATTATGAAACCCATACACAATATTCATTACCACAATACTAAGATCAAGTACAAATTTTTTGTTTCCTTTTTCTAACTTTAGTTTGCCTCAACCAAATGTTATGAAATTTATACACAATGCTTATTACTGCATAATACAGATTAAGTACGAAATTTGGTGGCGACACTTTTACCATTCTTGAGTTATGTCCCTTTATAAACATAAAAATTGCTGAATTTTTCGTTTCTGTTCTTTAACTTTAGTTTGTCTCAACCAAATGTTATAAAACTTATACACAACCATTCTAGAGTTATGCGTATTTACAAATAGAAAAATTGCTGAATTTTTAGTTTCTGTTCCCTTCTTAAGTTAGCCTCAACCAAATGTTATGAGACTTACACTATACACATTTATTTTACAAAACTTTACCTATTTTACACATGGTTAAATAAATCTGGGTTAGGGAAATATGACTGCCTCATTCTTTGTATGAGCTAAAACAGTTTAACTTAATAGATGATTTATTCGACTTTGGTATGTTTGAAAGCTTACCATAGATAGACCCTTTTACCTAGTTGAGCATGAAGCATGTTATAATTATAAACAGACAAATTGTTTTGCATTTTGTCATATGGGGACCTTTGATAGCGACACTATAAGGTATGGGTTCTGCTCATGTTTGAATCGCCACATGTTGACCAATAGTTGCCTACATACATCTGCATCATTTGGTCTCTGGTGGATAGGTGTCTCATTAGCAATCATACCACATCTTCTAAGATTTATCAAGTTTTTCAAAAAAATAATTTCTAATCAATTTAAAAAAAAAAGAGGTTTTATTTTATATTGAAACATAAATTTTTAATCCTGAAAATTTATTGCTACCCTAAAATTTTATTTGTTCTCGAAGGGGTTTAATGTGTCAAATTTTTCCTGAACATCTTAGGTTCAAAAAGTATACATTAAAAAAAAGAAAACAGCTTCTTTAACGTGCTGGTCTACCTAGTCTTTTCTAATCTAGCAGTTTGATCCATACTGCAGAATCATAGATAAAGTCATATCCCATGTGAGTTGGGAACAATAAATTACGTGGCCATCAGTTGGGAGTATCATACATTGAACATCACTTTAGATTGAACATCACTTTAAAGAATTCTCTCATTAGCATTTTGTAGAATTCTTTAAAAATACCTCTTGCAACACATATTTCTGACTAACTTAAGATGCTCTTTGGCAATCAGCATTTCCTGACTCTTCTAGCCAACCAGCCACTTTTAAGGTCATCCTTAACTTGATTTATTGCTTTAGTTGGTTTTTGTCCTGAATAAGATTATTATTTAGCCACTTGAAAGTCTTTTAAAGGAACATACGAATTGTGAAAACTAATCAATTAGATACCCGAGTCTTATAATTTGGTATGCCAGGCGTGCATTTCATCTACATAGACTCATTAGAGATGCTCAAATCAAAATAGTTGGAAGGCCAAATCAAGTATGAGGTTGAAGTGAGAACCAAAACTTCATATAGTTTTTTAAGAAAAATCTATCAACCTGAAATTGGAAATTTGATGATTTTAAGACAAATTTAAGAACGTTTTTCGCTAATTTTATATGCTTTCTTTACAAATATTCAACTATTTTGAAAGAATTTAGTCAATAATATTTCAGAAAATAAAAGAGATAAATGAATTATTTTTCAATTTTTAGATATAGTTCAAGCCGTGTTAAAGATATATGCAACATTTTAACAAAACCTGTGACATAGCCCATTTACTGTAACTTCACCTTAATTTTGAAGAGTACTTTTCTTTAAAAGTGTGTTGTTGGTTTGTTTTCTCATGTACACGTACCCCCTGACTATTCATTTTATTCATTCGAGATTAAAAATGTGATAGATCATTGACGCTCAGCATGTTAAATTTAATGCTATATTACATACTTTCCCCATTTTGTTCACATCTTTTTTAATGAGCTTGACTTTATATGGTTCCCCATATTTTTGTAGTCCTGTTATAGCTTATCCTGTAATTTGATTCTGACAGTTATTTTCCCAGGTCTATGATTCATTTGTCATACTTGTGAGGTTTCACATTCTAGAAGAAGCCGTGAAAAGTGAAGTTTCATAGGTACTAAATATGTAAAAATATATATACAAGGTTTCATGTGTCTGGTTTTAATATTTTTTTTTTTAATTCATTTTAGATCTGTCTTAAAAATATGCGTCACATATTTTCATATCATCTCAAGTTTCATATCTGCATTGATACAATTTTTTTTAACAGATTATAAAGTACTAACATATATGTCAACATGACAACTTTAGCAAAAACATTAAATGAAGCATTATGAAACTTCATAATATAAAAATAAGAAGATGTGGTATGATTGCCAATGATACAACTCTCCATCAGAAACCAAATGATATAGAAGTTAACAACTATAGGTCACCGTACGGCTTTCAACAATGAGCAAAACCCATACCACATAGTCAACTATAAAAGGCCTCTAAATGACAAATGTAAAACAATTCAATGAGAAAACAAACAGCCTGATTTATGTAAAAAACAATGAACGAAAAACAAATATGATATACAGCAACAAACGTCAATAAAAATAATGATAATAATAATGTGTGTTTCTACTTTGAACATTTTAGAGTTTTAGTTGGATTTGGTTTGATGTGGTTTAGACTTTTCAGTGTAGCTAGAATTGTCTATGTGAATATTTACCTTTGTGAAAATCAATTCTGTTCTTTCATTTTTTTCTTACCTAGTGTTACTTTTCAGTTATCTGGTGTCATTTTCACCATTGTCGCCTATTGATAAGTTCTAATAAGGTCCAATTCAGAATCAGAACTGTTCTCAGTGGGCTAAATCTGCTAATATTGAACTGATTCAGTCTTCACATGTATCATGAATGGCTGTAACTTAGTAGTAGATTTATTACCTTGCATTGCATGAAGACACAATCCATGAGTAAAAATAGGTGGAGAATTTCATCACAAAAAATTAATGAAATTAAAGATAAGATAATTATACCCCTACTCATAAGGATGTATAGGTTTACTCATTGCTATAGTTATACCCCCACTCATAAGGATGTATAGGTTTACTCATTGCTATAGTTATACCCCCACTCATAAGGATGTATAGGTTTACTCATTGCTATAGTTATACCCCCACTCATAAGGATGTATAGGTTTACTCATTGCTATAGGCCATTATAACAGTGACCTATAGTATTAGTTGTTAACATCCATGAGTTTCGACACTGCAGGTGAATAGTTGTCTCATTGACAATCATACTATGTACTGGTAAGCTTTTTTATTAAACAGATGTATTATGTTTTGCAGCACCAAAGAAAGATGAGATCTTGGCAAAAAGTGGTCTTACTGGTGTAGAGATTCTACAGATAGGTCTTGGCAATGGGGTCAGTATTATAAATCAAATGTATTGCCATATATGTAAGGGATAATTACACTGAAAAGAAGGGTAACCCTGTTGTTCTTTATGCCTTCTGGGGTTACTGGACATTTGTCCAAGGATATTACCAGCCAAAAAAATACAATATAGGGTCTTTTATTTTTCTCTCCAAAACAGCTGTAACTAAACCAGTGGGCCAGCTGGTTTCAAGAAGGGCCATTTGTCTAGGTTGTAACCAGGTTTTTAACCCCAGGCAAGGAAAATATCACTATACAGAGTTATTTATGTAAATTGCTATTGATTTTGTCATATTATCTTATTAAATATTAATTTTTAAAAGTAGAAAAATATTATATCATCCTCTTATTTGATTTCTAATTACTCATTAATCTATGGAAAGTTGTATATATATTGTGTATAGTGTCAAGAAATTGTGAAGAGAAATTCAATAAGCATCAAAGAGTAAAAAGCCAGTCCAGATTGGTCATTTGTCTGATGTCATCAAATTGTCCCCAGCTGTTCGTGACATGATCTCTCTACAATTATACCACTGTCATTGATTTCTCATCATTGGTAAGGCAATCATGTGGGAAAGAAAAGGTATCTGACAAGGTTTTAGAAGGTATCATTTGTTAGGGGCATCACCTACTTCCACACAGAAGAGTTGCTCTATTCATTGGACAGGCTTTATGTGGCTTTGCTGATTTTATTTTGCAGTGCACTACCGTTATCATCTAAGATTTTAAAATTTTAAACATTGTCTAATTTCTCAGTGCAAAACTGAATAACGCATATAATTGCTTATCCTGTCCAAAAAAGTAACTTTTCAGAGGAAAAAAAACTAGTGGAGTAATGGAGAGCAGTGCAGGGGGCAATCAGATGCCCAAAGTTGAAGAAGTTGAAATGAGCTGATTGCAATTTTTTTATGCCCCCGCCCTAGCAGAGGGGGCATTAAGTTTTACCCCTTGTCCGTCTGTACGTACGTCCGTCTGTACGTACATCCCAAAATTGGTTTCCGTTCTCTGACTTTAGTTTGCCTCAACCAAATGTTATGAAACTTATACACAATGCTAATTACCACAAAACACAGATCAAGTTTGAATTTTGGTGGCATCACTTTTGCTGTTCTAGAGTTATGCCCCTCTACAAATGGAAAAATTGCTGAATTTTTCGTTTTCGTTCTTTAACTTTAGTTTGCCTCAACCAAATGTTATGAAATGTATACACAATGCTTATTACCACAAAACACAGATCAAGTACAAATTTGGGTAGCGTCACTTTTACAGTTCTTGAGTTATATAACTTTATAACATTATATGCAAGCAGGGGCATCATCTGTATCCCATGGACACATTCCCCATTTATTTTTAATCAGATTGAAAGAAAGTAAAGAGCATTATTAAAGGAAAAATGACAAATGAAAGACAAACATTAAATGATGTGGACCGAAGACTTGACAATTTATAGATTTCAGACATCTCAAATGTTTCATTATGTTAAATTTGATGCTGTTAAGCTTGACTAATTTACTCAAAATCTAGTAGAGAGTCTGGATTGGAAAAAAAAAGGATTTATTTTAGATTACGACACATTAAACAAATGTATGGTTTCTGTCTTATTAATTGATAAAAAAAAATAAAAATTAATAGACAATTCATGATGACCACTCTTAAAAAAAATCCAAGTTATTTCATTTTAATCCTGAATATGGAAAACCGTTTAACATGAATACAGGTATTAAGGGGGAAGAACTGTTTTCATGGAGCCATGATTGATTTTAAAGTTTAATTTCATTGAAATTCATTGGTATTTAATTATTTTTACTTAGAATTCTGTATATGATTTTGTAGTTTATTTTTTGTTTGGAAATTAGGATTAAACAACCGCCTTCTCTTAATATTAAATGAACGGTGAGAACCCACAAAATGGTGGTGTTGCTTAACACCAATTTAGAATTACATTCTTAGCTGCCATTTTCTGCCAATATGAACTTAATTATCTATATTAAATCCTAAACTATCCATTGGATATATATATAGCCTTGAAAACGTGATGCCAACATGATAATCTGACAACACCTATTATTACATTCTTAGATTGCAAGCTATTACATTCTTAAATTGCAAGCTGAGGTACATTTGGCTAGATATCATCAAGATGCTTACTTGCACCAAGAAGTAAAAACACATCAAAATTATTATATAAATTTGTGATAAAGTGGCTGCTGTTATTATGTAGGCGATACTTCAATGAAAGCTAATGAGAACTGAGGACAATTGCAAACCAAACATGTTATTACATAGAGGTGAGATGTAGTACAAAGTGTGCAGGTGTTTATTTTATTTATCTTCATGGAAAGTTCGACATATGTTTTGGTCTTCAGTAGTTTCATTTCTACATTAACAGTTGAAGGCATCTCATTATTGAAAAAAGGAATAAAGAAAGTTTTATTTCTCAGTGACCATTTCAATTTAATTAGGATCAATTCTTTTTAAACTGTTTAAAAAAAACCTTTTGGAATTTTGGGTTCTCAATGCTCTTCAAATTCCTACTTAATTTGTCCTTTTTAACTTTTTTGATTTGATCATCACAGATGAGTCTTTTGTAGACAAAACCCTTGTATGTTGTACAAAATATTAAGCCTGGTATCTATGATAGTTTATTTAACACCAACATTAGAAAAACATTATTTTCTTCTCTAGTAAATTGGGGGCATACCAAGATAGAGCATGAAAGATTTATCATGTATCATGTGTTGGTAAGTAGTTCAATACAGGGTTAATAATCTTTAAAGTCTCAGCTGCTAATGGTCAAGCTTTCTCCATTGTACAATAAATCTTAATTATCTAGGTTTTGAGGGTCAAAAAAGGGATTATGTAAGTGAGAAATTATGATATTTTCAACAAAATTTGTTTTGCTGAAATACATACAGTCTTTAGCTAAGTTGAGAAAACAAGGACCCCATCAGCTTGTCATATCAGTGTACATGTTACATGTAGTATTCAGGAAATGATGTTTTAATGATAAATGGTATTGAAAAAAAGGAAGATTTTTTATGGATATGGCTGTGAATATCAATTAACTTTTGTACATTTGTATTAACAACGTGTTCATCTCTGTTCTGATTCAGTCAAGTTCCTGATTTAGTCCTATTTCTCAATAAAGGGACGACCATTTGATATTTTATTCGAAATTAACAGATAGATGAAGTTTAATAGAATTTTAATTTCAAGATTAAATGTTTTTTAATGTGGAATATACATGTACACATAATAAAGATGTACATATTTGACAACTGTTATTTTAGTTTATTGTTTACAGAATGAGTGGTTATTGATAATAAATTTTGGTCAAATTATTCATATAATATTGGTTGCTCAATGCTGTACAATTTCCAAGCAGGAATTTTATTATTTGATGAATTAGATATACATATCTAATGTTTGCATATTGTTAGGATGATTTTGTAACTTATATTAGTCTAGAATAAACCACTTCCTGTTTGTAAATTGTAAAATATGAGGGGGCATCATGTGTGTCATACAAACGCAAGATATTTGCAAATTAAACAACAAATATTTTTCACTTATCAAAATTCAGTGAAGACAGGCTTTACCAGGCCATACTTTTGTCTAGTATAAGTATTGGTTTGTTTTTTCATCCTTTTCTCAGATATTCTTTATGATTTATGGATGATATATCAGTTTGACATTGAACAATTTTCATGTATGGTTCAAAACAATTCCACAACATTTGTTTTTTTTTTGTTCTACATATGATCTTGCTGAAGAGCCTGCTTTTTATTGATTGGTCGTTTATGTATCTCAGTCAATATGTAATGCATGTGTGTGTTAAAACTATAGAAACTTCATTGACAGGGATGTGTTCCTGACACCCATTCTCTCTCCTTTCAGACTTCATGAGATTCCTTCACTTTTAGTTTTTTACTTTGATTTTCATCTTCTTGATGGATTTAACAAAATGGAACATCTGTAAACTACTGTTGCAGTATGATGGAATAAACAAATGTGGCTAATAATTTAAATTTCATCACCCCAAAGTCTCATCCACCTTTGAACAGATAGAACACCCTGCCTGTGTCCCTAGCATATGAGGATGATGCTTTTAAGTAGAGCCATAATGGACCAAATATAAATCATTTCTACCTAATTAATGAGAGTATTGGGATCAAGGATTTGTGGTCAGTTAAGTAACCTATCAACTGTTTTTGTTAGTACAGCCAAGCTTTGATTGATATTAATGATAATATTGCTGAAACAACAAATAAAGAAGAGTTTTATCAAGTTGAATGTGTACCGAGGAACAGTCTTATTAAGCAACAGTTTATATTAATAGCATAACTTATTTGTAAAGTTATAGAGACCACTAAGACAATGTAGAAAAACTGTGTGCAGAGTTAAAAAAGATTATACCCTTCATTATAGACAAGACAAATTCACGGTTTTGTTCTCCTAGGCCTTAGATATGACAAAGTCAATGTTTGCTTGACAAAGTCTTATGTTTTGCTATGTGATCAGAATATAAAACAGTGTTTGTTATATCTTTCCATATGTTTGGCTGTTATTTGTGTTGGTCTATTTGTTTAGAAATTTCTCAGTATGTTGAGTTCTTCTTGGTTATGAGATTTTCCTATTTTTATATCATACGCTATTATATGCTACGAGGAAGCACCAGTATATATTAGATCTACCACAAGACAAGACAATTTTATTTTTTAAAACCACTGTATCAAGTGTGATATAATATTTCTTCACTGGAGACAGTTTAATTTTCAAATTTAAAACTGGAGGCTTGCCAAGAGTTTTAAATATTTAAAATTAAACTGTCTCAGACTTTGTTTTAGATGTATGCAAAATAATAAGAGCAGGGTCGAAAAATGAATCAAAATAAGTATAACCTTGTAACACAGAAATAGAAATATTTATGCATTAAATAAATTTTTTGACTCTGTGTAAAGCAAGATTATATCAATATTTAAGAAAAATC